TTGATCATGTGGTACAGTTATGTCTTTGGATATGCATCCAGATTACACCGTGTAAGAAAACATAGCCTTACACACAGAGAGGGAGTTTTCTAGGTGCATATGAACTATATCACAAAAGGCCTAAAGATAGGAATTATCTGTTGTCAGATTTTGTAACCTTCACATGCTTAGCTTAGAACTATGTCTAAGATTGCATCTTTCTCTTATACAGTCTCTTAACACTTATGCGAATCTGAGTGAGATTTAAACCATAAGATATTGCGCAGAACCTGTGGTATGTTCCTAGAGCCAAATCGAGAATACATTATGTCAAATAAAGTGGAGATATTTAAGGTGATTAATGAGATCAAATGTGGCACACAGGTCTGCATAAACTTAGTCCTTCCTTCACTAGATTTCAAACACACTCTGATTATCAGGATGTAAGAACTTACAATCAAAAAGGCTTGTAGAGTATGAACAACTAGTGGGATATATCCATAGATGCTGTTTACAGTAATGTCCACACAGGAGAGCTTTACAATGGCCCAGTTTTCACAGTACAGTTTGTCAATGTGAGACCCACATAAAGGCAGTCTAGCAGTTAATAAAATTCCAATTGTTAACTCACTCAAAGGAAGAAGCCAGGAAATCAAAATAAATTTCCCAGTAATCATAATATTCATGATAGAATGATACTCTAAGGGTTTGCATATCGCCACATACCTGTCGTAGGCCATCACTGTTAAACTGCTGTATTTACATGGAAGATAAGAGTAGATGACAAAGCTTGAATCAAACATCCAGTGTATGAGATGACACGAGAGTCGGAGAGAAAGTCAGCCAGGAGTCTAGGATACAATCCAGTAGTTCCGTACAGTATATTGACACTCAAGTTACAGACGAAGATGTACATGGGCTCATGGAGGGATTTCTCCAGGAGGACTGTAGCAATCAGAGTCAGATTAAAAAATAAGATCATCAGGTAAAAGAGAAGAGTAAAGGCAAAACATATATATTTATACGATCTTGTCTCATTTAATCCACTGAGATAAAATACGGCCACATTAGATAGGTTTTCCATCTGCAATATTGTTCACAAATTAACTATTGCATTTAAACATGATGATTTTCTCATTTGAATGCAATAATTGTCTTGTATAAATGCAATATTTTTTTTCTCTGTGGCGCTAATAAGCTTCTGTAAATAATACAATGACTGGTTGATTTTGTAAATGGAAAAATTGAACCCTTCAATGTAAATGAAGGGAATAAAATAATTTTCAGAAAACATTATTGTTTTTTTCTTTCACATCTGATAAAAATGAAAGTAGAGCAAGATAGAATGTGTAGATATGGAACATATATCTACATACAGTATATCTGCATTTACTATGCAATTAATATTGCTTATAGAAGTCACTCTAAGAAGATCATTACAACAAATTATCTAAAACATACAGATACTCAGGTACACAAACAAGGCAGAAGTGTTTCTTCTTTATTAAAGCATAATGTTATTGTCTGAATTATTGTCATACAGTTTTCACATTTAACATTATTTTTT